TAAACATTTAAACATTTAAACATTTAAACATTTAAACAAACATTTAAACATCTAAGTGCTATTGCTAGCTCATGTATGATATGCCATACACTAAATCAGGATTGGAGAACATAGCCCCTTTATGACCTGTGGACCTCGCTGTCTCAGGAATTCTGGGAGTTGAAGTCCATAGGCCATAAAGGGGCCATTGTTCCCCACCCTTGAGCTAAATAAATAAATAGGCTGGAGTGTGCCATATATGCACAGGTTGGGTGTGCCATATTTCTTCTGGACCATAGATTAACCTCCTTTCTTCTCCCCCAGGATAAATACAGTGAATTCTTTATTTTGTTCTTCCAATTGTCATGGCTCTCACTTGTTGCAATTGTACTCATCTCCACCTCTCCTTTTTTTCTCCCCTTCTTTCCTTCTCTCTCTCTCTCTTTCTCTCTCTCTCTCCAGTTTGTTGCTCAGCCCAACTGCCAGCAACTACTAGCAACACTTTGGTACGACGGCTTTCCCGGATGGCGGCGGAAGCATTGGGCAGTTAAGCTTTTGACCTGTGTCACTATTGGACTGCTGTTTCCAGTGCTTGCCGTGGCTTATTTGATGGCACCCAAAAGCAGGCTGGGACTGTTCATTAAAAAGCCATTTATCAAGTTTATCTGCCACACAGGCTCCTACCTTACCTTCCTCTTCATGCTACTGCTCGCATCCCAGCACATTGTCAGGACAGATCTACACATGCAAGGACCTCCTCCTACAGTGGTGGAATGGATGATCCTCCCATGGGTTTTAGGTAAATCAATGAAGACATGGAGGGTTAACGGAAAGTGCTTACAGATTAATTTTGATGGGGATGATGTTTTGTTCTGTGCAAATAAACTTGGCCAATAAGACAATGTCAGGACCAACAGCCACTGTCTCTTCTATGGGAAAAAGGCTACCTCCTTCTCCACATTTAGCTTTACTCTCTGTTGCAACTTTGAAACCAGTGGAAAGGACATCCCATCCCATCCCATTGTCGATGGAGAGTTTCATGGTTGTCCCAAAAGTACTTTTTCAAGAGGCAACCAGACCTTCTTTGTTTGTCCTTGAAGGCATTTTGCATCTCATCCAAGAGGCTTCTTCTTCAGTTTTGAAGAACAAAAAGTCCAAAGAAAGTCAATTTGCCACTTGAAAAAGCACCTTTGGGAATCCCATCCAGTGGTGGGATTCAAATTGTATTACTACCGGTTCTGTGGGCATGGTTTGGTGGGCATGCCATGGCTTGGTGGGTGTGGCAGGAGAAGGATACTGTAAAATCCTCATTCCCTCCTGATCAGCTGGGACTCAGGAGGCAGAGAATAGATGGGGGCGGGGCCAGTCAGAAGTGGTATTTACCGGTTCTCCGAACTACTCAAAATTTCTGCTACCGGTTCTCCCGAACTGGTCAGAACCTGCTGAATACCACCTATGAATTCCCATCCCATTCTGTCTCCTCTCCTCTCCTCTCCTCCGATCCCATCCCATCCCATCCCATCCCATCCCATCCCATCCTTAATAGTATAATGCAAACTCCAGTTGTGGAAACAGATGTAGGAAGGACAACTAGAATGACTATATCTTTATCAAGATAGAATGACTAAAGTTTTCCTGCCCTGTTATTTAGGCTTTTTGAACAGAATAATGTGTGAAACAGAAACAAGACAATTGAGTTAGATGTCCTTGGATCTGATTTAGAGGACTCTTGATTGAATTACAAGGATTAAGATGGTGAAGGAAGATATTATATCTAGTAATATCCATCCAGGAATTTTACAGATAAATGAGCATGTCTTACTATATCTTATCCTCCAGTTTACACTAAAGGAAGGGACCTGAAATTTTTTCAATGCTGGATTACAAGTGTCATCATTAAAGACCATGTTGGCTGAAGCTTCACTGAGCTGAAGATCAAATAACATGTTAAGGATGACTGATTCCTCACCTCTGTAGAATATTCTTCTTGTTCATGACATGTGAATGAAATACTGTACGTGAACCAATGTTCAGCAAATATATACATTTAATTGGCTAAATGAATGAGTGAGGGATTTGACCATCCAACTTGTAGAATGTGACTGTGATAAGCAAAAATAAAAGCAAAAACACAATTTCCCAACAAATTGACAACAAATACATATTTTTTTCTGATTTGGCTTGTTTCTTGGCATTATGTACGCTCTCTTGATGTTGCATGGTTAGGCAAACCATCACAGATTTAAATAGGGTTCAATTTGGTTAGTAGAGGAATTGGAAACTATCAAGAAATCCTTGAATTGTAAGTTAGCAAGGAAGAAAAAAAAATACCCTGGCAGCAAATCCCTTTCATATTCCTTCCTAGAGAACTCTGGAGATCTGTTATGAGATCCATAACAATCCATTTCAGCTCGAGAATTTGACTTTTCTTCCTTCTGGATGTTAAGTCAAAGTGATGCCTTTCTAATGTAATAGAATGCTTCAATTTACTGCAGTTCAAAGGATCATACTGGAAATCAACACACAATCAAAGAACTACAAGGGAAGGAGGTGAACAGTTATAGATTTCATCCATGGCTTCCTAATTAATGTCTGATGAACCTCATCAGAACTCTGAATCCATAGTACGAAGGAAATACTAGTACGAAAACTGGTGGTTTCTGCTACATAGCTCAGAGTCATAAATCCTATGCTACACAAAGTCAAGTAATATTACATAACCCAGAACTCAAGCTGCATTGCAGTTAACTTAAGCAAACTTATAACTCAGACATGGATCCCAGTGATACCAATTTGTCATATTTCAGGGCATATTCTTGGATGTAAAGTTCTTAGTAAGAGGTGAATGTAACCGCAGATAACCTAAAAGCACCGTAAAGTGACTAAATTGGTTCATTGATTGATTGATTGATTATGTGCCATCAGGTTAGCAATAATGTATTAGCAACCAGATAAAAGTCTGTGGAAATTCTCACTCATCCAGGTCATGGTTGTCCCAAAGGTGCTTTTCAAGAGGCAACTAGACTCTCTTGATTTTTCCTTGAAGACTTTTCGCTTCTCATCCAAGAAGCTTCTTCAGTTCTGATTGAATGGTGGAGAATGGAACTCAGTCAGAACTGAAGAAGCTTCTTGGATGAAAAATGAAACATCCTCAAGAAATACAAAGACAGTCCAATTGCCACTTGAAAAAGACAACCAACCTGATTCTTTAACTCCTCCAATAGTCGGCTCTAAATGACCTTAAAATGCTGAATTGATTTCTACTGGCATGTTTTGGTATGAAATGGTAAGGATAGAAATTGTTACCGTTGTGATAATTATGCCATTTTGTTTTACCATGTAGCTCTTATTCATTGCTCTGCCATCAACTCACACAATTATATCTTCATTTATACTTATGTTTATATTTCTTGACTTTGGCTTGTAGCGTCATCAAAGCCAGCTGAAGGTCAAATTGGCAGATGGTGATGTCACAGTATTTCCCTCTAATTTTAGTGTATTTCGGAACCATTCATTAAAATAATTGTGAAATAGCATCAAAAATAAATGTTATTTATTTATTTATTTATTTAAGAAAGTTCATATGGCCGCCCAATTCACTCTCAGTCACTCTGTGGCTTACAAAGATAATAAAACATAAATACTTAATAAGATATATGGGATGGGGTAGCTCAGTGGCTAAGATACTGAGTTTGTCGATCAGAAGATCAGCAGTTCGAATCCCTAGCGTCGCGTAACGGAGTGAGCTCCCATTACTTGTCCCAGCTTCTGCCAATCTAGCAGTTTGAAAGCACATAAAAATCCAAGTAGAAAAATAAGGACCACCTTTGGTGGGAAGATAACAGGGTTCCGTGCATTTTTGGTGTTAGTCATGCTGGCCACATGACCATGGAGACGTCTTATGACAGTGCTGGCTCTTCAGCTGTGAAATGGAGATGAGCACCATCCCCTAGAGTCAAGAATGACTAGCACATATGTCCAAGGGAAATCTTTACCTTTAGAGACAACCCTGAATGACAGCAAAGATTCCTTCTGAACTGAAGAACCTTCTCTTTTTTTACAGCCTCTGGTTATCTTTAAACTAATAATATGATTCCTTTTCCTTTTGATTTACTTTCATAGAATCTACTTTTTAAAAAAAGGACGAGAAGTTTAGAGTGGATATGTGAGGGGAATCTAAATAAGGAAATGCAGTGAAATTATGAACTGTAGTTCCTCACTTTGACAGCTCTTAAAAAGAAATCAGAGACTGAATGGATTCGTCAAATTGTAGCTTTGCAATGGAACTTGGGTAAAAGAAAGTTGATGCCTTGCATGCTTGCCAACCATCTTTATTCAATATGCTTCCAAATCAGTTTTCTCATCTTTTTTCTGCTTTTGAGAAGGAGAAATCTCTATCTGTATCTACATGAGGAATAAGGCAGCATTCACGATGGTGATGGTGATGATAATAATCTCACAGCCCCAGTCTCTTTTTCAAAACTCTTTTTAGAACTGAACAGAATAAAAAGTTGAAAGGGACCTTGGAGGTCTTCTAGCCCACACCCTGCTCAAGCAGGAGACCCTATGCCATTTTAGACAAATGGTTGTCCTGTCCCTTCTTAATAGTTGGTCTCGCATAAGTAGTAGTAATATCCTGAGATTATTACTAGAGAGTTAGAGTACAATTCCCTGCAAATAATTGGAAGGATTTTTTTCCCTACAAAATAGTTTTCATTGATGAAAAAGAATTCATACTAGCACTTTCTCTGCTGATAGCAGGACAGTAGCTATAGTAACAATTCTGATTTTTTACTCACCATAACTCATGAGTTTCTATCTCAAAAGATGCACTACCATATTAATTGTGCAGGCAAGGAACTGCAGATAGCAAGGAAAATGTACTAGGGTCCTTGGTGCTCTCTACACTTGGTTGTTTCCTAGCATACCTTTCATTATGCAAATAGATGATGCTGGTGATGTTACCTGGTTGACTAATGAAAGAAAACTACCCTGGTCCTCCTCTTCCTCCTCTCTGCAACCCCCCCTCCTTTTAGACCTGATTATGTTATTTAGTCAGGTAATAAAAGGTCTTCAAGAAACAACTAAGCTTAAGGTAAAAGTAAAGGTTCCCCTCATAAATATGTGCTAGTCGTTCCTAACTCTAGGGGGCAGTGCTCATCTCTGTTCAAAGCCGAAGAGCCAGCGTTGTCCGAAGACTTCTCCGTGGTCATGTGGCCAGCATGACTAAACACCAAAGGTCCACGGAAGGCTGTTACTTTCCCACCAAAGGTGGTTCCTATTTTTCTACTTGCATTTTTACATGCTTTTGAACTGCTAGGTTGACAAAAGCTGGGACAAATAATGGGAGCTCACTCCGTTACGTGTCCTAGGGATTTGAACCACCAAACTGCCAACCTTCTGACCGACAAGCTCAGCATCTTAGCCACTGAGCCACCGCATCTTAACTAAGTTAGAGAACACCAAAACCCGCACAGTTCTTCTCCTTCTCCTCTCCTCCTCCTCCATCCTTCTCCCTTCTAGCACTTATGATGTTATCTAGCTGGGTATTGAAATGTTTGAAAGAAAACAACCAAACTAAGAGAGCACCAAAGCACCCCAAAACTCACCCTTAAACTACAAATATTCTCCTCTATTCCAGTGGTGGGACTCAAATTTTTAAACACCAGCTTCTGTGGCGTGGCTTGGTGGCGTGGCTTGGTAGTCATGTGACTGGGTGGGTGTGGCCAACGCAACATCACTCGTGTCAAATGGGGCTCTTCCTTCCCAGCCACTCCTTGTCATCCCCAGCTTCAACGT